AGGCAGAGAGAGAGAGAGAGTAAAAAAAGGCCCGAAAGAGAGTGGATGATTTCGGAATGAAATTAATCAATGCCCATGCCAGCTTCACAATGTATGGGGAAAGGGGGGGGGAGGGAGGGGAGCAAGCAGAGCTGTCAACTGCCCACTAAGTGGCACTGACTCAAAACGACAGCTTTTTTTTTTTTTTCCCTTCTCCAGATCACCACACGGCTGGACCTCACCGATGGCACACGTACAAAAGTGTTCTGCGCCTCCCACTTTCTTTTTTAAACCGTAAGCATTTCAACCAACGCCATTTTTCTATGTCATGGCAGTGCCCGCGTGCCCCCACACTTTTTTTTTGGCCTATTAATGTTTTCGGCGCGACCCCCCATATGTCAGTCAGTACATCCCACCAGACACGCGAGCACTGCCGCGTCAGAGAAAAAAAAATGGCTGGGAAAAGTACTTGCGCATCTTGCGATTGCGATTTGGGCACTGTGCACACCTCACTCTTTCCCCAACAATTGTAGATGATGCGCAGCAATTTCGCCCGCAAGCATTTGTTGTGTCCCTCCCTCCCTCCCTCCCTCCCTCCCTCAGCCGCAGTAAGGTTCAATCATGCAACCAGGAGTACACAGCTCTCCTACACACTGTGTGTCTGCGCATTCTGCTTCGCAAGAATTCATGAACAGCTGTTGTCGTGGATCGCAACACGGCTTGACCTCGTCGACACAAAAATACTTTGTGCATGGCGGCATTATCTCGAGGTCCCTACCAATACTCCGGAACCGTCTGACGTTCTCGGTGCCCACACGGAACAGTTGTCCGAGGCGGAGGCCGCGTTTCCCGATCCATCGGACATTGTCTGTCGCTGCATACAGCCACCAGAGCAGAGTGAGTGCCTCCTGCCCCTCTCATTACCAACAGTCAAACCTCTTTTCTTTTCTTTTCTTTTCTTTTCTTTTCTTTTCTTTAGTAATTTGAATGAAAATCAGAGATGTAGAGAATGGTTTGTCATTTTTTTCTATATTCATGTGATGATATATATATATATATGCCAGCGGCGTGTCTGGAGTGTATTTTTTGGCTGTGACAGACCTTTCTWTGTTTCGTGGATGTTTTGCTGGCTTGTGATGGGGTGTGAACCGACAGTCTGTAGAGTTTTCCATCTGGTGTGGGTGAGTGATAGTCTACTTTGATTTTG